ATAACCTACAAAAGAGAAATCAACTAATACCTGATTTCATAAAAACAGCAATGGAAGCCAGAGACAGTGGGATGACGTCTTCAGTTGTTGAGAGAAAACAATTATCACCCTAGAATTCTACATCCAGTGAAAACACTGTCCCATAATAAAGATTAAATATAGAGATTTCAGTCAAACGAAAACCAAAATTGTTTGCCACTAGTCAACTCTCACTAAAGGAAATACAAAAGGACGTGCTTCACGCAGAATGATGGTGACCTGAGATGGAAAAATCTGGAGGTAAAAAGAAATGAAGATCAGAAAAGGTGGTAAAAATGTTTTTTAAATGGCCACACCTATTCCTCTCTTGGTCTCCATGCCCTTTTGCAATCTGGTTTTGCATCTCCTTATATCAGGAGATGGAGTCTATTTCTCCACCCTTTGAATTTGGGCTCGGCCTAATTCATGCCCAAACCAATGGGACGAGGCAGAAATTATGTTGTGCTAGTTGTAAACTTCCATTTAAAAGCTATTTTGGACCCCTGAACTGTCATGTTAACAAGCTTAGGCTAGCCTGTTAGGATTAGAAACCACATAGAAAAGTGATTGAGATTATTACAGATCTTTTCGGCATCAAGTTGATTTGCGACCTGACAGCAGATTCATGTGTGAGCTCAGCTGAAATCTGCTTAAATTGGCCTACATCAGAAACACTGCCCAGCCTACCCACTGCCTTTTTCTACCCACTGGTGAGAAATAATACATGATTACTATGCTAAGCCTCTAAGTTTTGAGGTGATTTGTCATTTAGTTCGGAGCACCAAGAGTTAGCAATAGATAATAATGAATGGTATGGGCTTCCCTTGTGGTTCAGCTGGTGAAGAATTTGCCTGCAATGCAGGGCACCTGGGTTCGATCCCTGGGTTGGGAAGATCCCCTGGAGAAGGGAAAGGCTACCCACGCCAGTATTCTGGCCTGCAGAATTCCATAGACTGTATAGTCTATGGGGTGGTAAAGATTTGGACACGACTAAGCGACTTTTACTTTCAATAATGGTATAAATCGATAATGTCTTGTGGGTTAAAAATTAAGATAGAAAGAAAATATATAGCAGCAGATAGCATGGGGCTAGAACTGAAGTGTTCTAGAGTTAAAAAAAAATGTTTCTTTTTCTCATATAATAAGAACTCCAGGAGTAAGCATTTCAGAGTTGGCACAGTTGCTTAAGGAATTTATCAAGGACCCAGACTGTCTTTTATTTTCCTCTTCATTATTCCTAGTCAGGGCCATCATCCTGATGTTCACAAGATGGCTGCTGCACGTCTAGGCACTGCACCTGTGTTCCAGGCAGAAAGAGGGTGAGAATGTGGTATGTCTGTCTCTTCTTTATGAGGAAAACAACATCTTTCCCAGAAGCTCTACTTGGTAGACTTCTGATTATATTTCTTTGGCCGGAAATCTGTCACATGACCATATCTAGGAGCCAAGCCTGGGAAATTTTTAGTTAGGTGAACTGCTTTGCCAAAGGAAATGAGGATCCTGTTATAAAGTGAATGTGGGAATGGACGTAGATTAGGCAACTAACAGTCTCTGCTCTCTACTTGAGAGAAAACATCTTATGTGGAGAATGATGAAAAGCAAAGCAAGCAATGTACCCTGCATACAGATGGAGAGACAGTATTGTGTAGGGACTAGAGAGGGAATCTCCGGGTCTTAGCTCTGAAGATGACTTGCTAGAGGACTAGTCCTCACTTTCTTCCCCTTTAAATCACAGCGTTGGAGGGAACAAACTGCATTTCTTTTTGAGGACCTACAGAAACTGTGAACGGAAGTCACATCATAGATTCTTCATGTGCAAGAACACATTTAGACCTTATAGCAAATATATGAGTCGGTGTCATCATCTCATTTTACACCAGGGTGATGTAAAATCTCAGAGAGATGGGGTAGAAGGCACAGATCCTACATCTAGGAAATGGCAGAGCCAGAGTTTCAGCAGAGCCTTCCTTCCATTGCCCACCCCTATTTCAAAAGGTGAAATAAGCACATACATTTTTAAAATTGAATTTTAAGGTCACATTTCCTAAACCAGTGTCTTTTAAAGCGTGACCTGGTGACATCAGCAACTAAATTCCCTGGGGGTATTTATTACAAATGCAGACTCCTGGACCTCCTTCAGATGAACTGTAGCAGATTCTCTAGAACTGAAACCAGGAATCTGCATTTTAAAAAGTTCCCCTGGTAATTTGGAGACATTTTAAATTTGAGAACCATGGTTATAAACTTATAATTTATCATTCCATTCTAATGTAGTTTATTTATGGATCTGTGGCTCATGGAAATTTCCTCCACATATCAGGAAAACAAAATTTAAAAATAGTCTTGTTTCTCCTTCCTGTTCCTCAGTTTCCTAATAAACACACTCAATTCTACGGAAAATATGAAGGCCCTGGAAGTGTGTCTCAGAAGATATTCCAACACTGATTAACTGAGGCTCTGTAAGGCAAAAGCGTGGATTACCATCAACGTGAATGCTGATTAGAATCACACAGAGCTGGAATGGGATGGGCCAAGGAAATGACATTACTAAATATTTACTATGTTCCAGACACTGTTCAGACACATTACGTCATTTAAGGGGCCTAAGACGTGATTTGATCCCTTTTATTTATAAATGGGGAAGGTATTCTTATATTTCCATTTTAGAGATGAAAAACAATAGTGAGAAAAAAACAATCGCTTGTCTGAGATAAATCATTCATTCATTCACACAGTAAGTATCTCTGAGTGTTTATCCTAAGTAACATATTGAGAGCAGAGCAGCAGAAAAAGAAGTCTAGAGACTGCAGACGTCACAAAGTCCTGACTGACCCTCCAGGTCCCCACTGAGGAGCCAGGACGGGGAAGCAGACTGGGGCTGGGCCCTGGCAGGCCCGGCTCTCTGGGCTTCGCCTGCCTGCTGCAGGGAGCTAAGAACAAGGCTTCCTGCTGGAGATCTCAGGCGTCCCCGGAGAGCAGGCTGTGGGCTTGGAGCCAGCAGTAGCTGCACCCCTGGCTAGGTGGTCTGGTGTATGCATACCAGCTCCTTACTTGTCCAGAGGAGAGGAGCAGGTGAGGGGGCCAGAGAGAGAGTGTATCAGCAGAATTTCAGAGGCAGGAAGGGGAGCCCCCAAGTCTTAACATGCTGCTGCTGCTGCTAAGTCGCTTTAGTCGTGTCCGACTCTCTGCGACCCCATAGACAGCAGCCCACCAGGCTCCTCTGTCCCTGGGATTCTCCAGGCAAGAACACTGGAGTCGGTTGCCATTTCCTTCTCCAAGGCATGCATGCATGCATGCTAAGTCGCTGTCTCTGACTCTGGGCGACCCTATGGACAGCAACCCACCAGGCTTCTCTGTCCACAGGCTTCTCTAGGCAAGAATACTGGAGTGGGTTGCCATTTCCTTCTCCAAGGCTTAAGGTAGTCTCTCACTAAAACTTGGGAGATAGATATTATTTCCATTTTATAGATGACAAAATGAAGGCTCAGAAAGGTTAACTGGCTTGCTCAAACAGGTGTTCAAGCCAGAAGGGGAATAGTGCCCATCTCAGATCTCAGTTCCAACACCCCCACCCTGCCCTTTACTACTCAGGAGGGAGGTCTTCACAGGCTTGTAAAATGCTCACCCGGGTAGCCCTAAACCAATTTACAAATCGATAGTAGAGGCCGGTTCTGATTCCTGCTACCAAGGTTTATTTAATTCCAAGTTCGAATCACACAGAAAATAAAATTTTCTCCCTGAAAGGTTCTGTGGAAAAATGTTCTCTGTTCTGTGTAACAGCCTCCTTAGCTGTGTTTGTGTCTGAAGAGAGGACTAGTCTGACAGGAAGAATTACAAATCTGGAGCTCATTTTGGCGTCCCAGAGGAAAGGTGGGTGGAGCGTCTCACAGTAAATTAGGAATTCAGAATGAAAACGTAGCTGGGTTTATTTGGGTTTCTAGTGACACCTCAGAATCATTGTGCAGGCGTGTCAGAGGCAGCTCAAAGTGATGCCTGCTCCTCCTCCGCTCCCGGGGTGCTGCCTGCTAGGAAGGGGGAATCCCGGTCCTTGGGGGATGGGGGTGGGAACCTTCGCTTTCTCACCTGGACCAGGGAGGGAGCAGGGGAAAGGAGTGTGGTCTGCAGTCCAGTCTGGCTCAGCTCTGAGTTCCGGGGGGCGGGAGCCAGTTCAGGGGTGCGTCTGAGCTCGGGATCTGTGTCCGAGGCGGGGATCTGAGGCCAGGATTTGGAGACTCTTTAGACTTTTTTGGGGGGGGGGGTGAGGGTAATCTAGGTTTGGGGGTGGACAATGACAGTGGGAGGAAACAGGAGACTGGGTCGTATCTGAAAGGCACCGAGGCAGGATCTTGGGGTGGGGGGACGGTGTTGAAAGTTGAGGCATGGATCTGGGGAGGGGAAGTTGAAGCTGCCCGACGATGCTAACGGGCTGGGTGAAGGTGTGTGGGATTGACGGTGCAGGACTGCGAAGCAGGGTCAGGCTGGGTACCAGATCTTAAAGGAGAAGAAAAGAGGCTAGAAGAATAGAGCTGCCACAGCCTGCTTCCGAAAGCGACTCACTCCCAGACACACCCACCGTCTAGCCCTCGCCCTCCGAGGCCGGAGGGAAGGCTGTGCCGGGCTCGCTGGGCCCTGCCCCCACCCGGCCTTCGGGCTCCCAGCGGCTCGGACGGCGGCTGGGGTCTGTCTCCCCGGCCGCCGGGGAGTCTGGGGGCGTGGCCAGCAGCCCGGCGCCTGCGGCTCCGGATTGGCTTCCCGGCGGGCCCGTGGGCGGGGTTTCGGGTTGGGTCCCGCTCGGCAGTTCGCAGACGGCGGGGAGGCGGGGCCGGCGGGAGCCCTGCAGCCAATGGACGGGCAGCCCCCGAGCAGTTACAAAGGGCCGGAGCGAGGCCGCCGCCGCGGCAGGGGAGGTGGGGCGAGGCGAGGCTTGTTTAGGCGAGGCGGCGGCCGGGCCGGGCCGGGCCACAGGCGGTGGCGGCGGGACTATGGAGGCAGCGGCCGCTACTCCGCGTCCCCGGTTGCTCCTCCTCATGCTGGCGGCGGCGGCCACGCTGGTCCCGGAGGCAACGGGTGAGCAGCGGCGCGGCAGGGCTGGCGGGAAGCTTCGGGGCGCGCGGGCCGGGCCCGGCCTCTGGCTCACTCCTCTTTCTCAAACATGGCGCGGGGCCGGGGGCGCAGGTGGCGGCACCCGGGCCGGGCTTTCCTGGTCTGGCCGCCGCCTCGCGAGCCGCGGGCGGGCAGCGGAGGCGGGGCGGAGGCGTGGGTCCGAGCGCGGCTGAACGTGCCCGGCAGCCCGCAGCCACCGCGGCTGCTGGCTCTTCGCGGGGAGGTGGCGTCGGGCGAAGCCGTCCAGGGTCCGGGGCTGCCCTCTGGGGAGCGAATGGGCGCGGGCCGAGGGCCGGAGGGTGTGAGGCTGGCCGGGACCGGCAGAGCTGGGGCTGCCCCCCGGTTCCCGCGAGGCGCTGCGTGGCGTTGTCCCAGGCACCGCACCCCGAGCGAATTGGTCCTCCAGGCTCCGGGGCCCCGGGCAGGGCCGAGGGGGCGGAGGAAGCTTCCAGGGCGGGGTGTGCGCTCTGAGCCTCCAGGCCTCCCCCAGCAGTGGGAGGGGATGTGTGTGGCCGAGACCCTCGGGGTCAGCGAGGCCTCCCTGGCCTTTGACATCGGCTTGACCCCGCCGAGCGGGGCCGCTTCTCCAGCTGGGGGCGGCTTTGGAAGAGGAGCTGCTGCGAAGCTTTGTGTGAGGACAAGGAGGCAATAAGATGTGTGGACTGGTTCTTCTTTCGTGCGTCTGGGGAACGCTGAAGTGGAATCCGCTCACCAGAAGGCTGCGGATTGTTTTGGTAGTAGAAACTTGAACGTTTGCTCACTCTGCGGGGTTTGGAATGTTTGAATGGAGATGACTGAATTGATCAAACGCTTTTATTTCCTCGAAGGAACATCGGTAGAGAGGTTCGATTTCTTGAGTGAGTGACAGTAGTTTGAATCGGTCGTCTGTGTAGCTGGTTTTTGAGGGACAGTATTTGTTAGGTTTTCCAAAATATTAAATCAGGTTGGGGTATGGGGTCATCACCTACCCAATGGAAGGGGGAGTGAAAAACTTTGTTAGCACTCAGACTGTACTACTGGAAACTGAAATGTGGAGCCTTAGTGAAAGCAACTAAAATAAAGTGAATACATTTTTATTTCTCTCATTGAACACAGAGTGTTTTAAAAACATTTCAAGACTTAGGGTGCCAGTTATTGTTAATAGCTACTGTCTATTAAGAGCTTATTATGATACAGAGGCATAAAGTACACCGAAGTACATTATCTGATCCTCCCAACTAAACCCTGAGGGCTAGTGGAGATTGCCCCATTTTACAGAAGAGGAAACAGGTGTGGAGAGGATGAGGGCTCCATTGCTAAAAGCTGCATTTAGGATTTGCAGCAAAGGTTTCAGGGTCCAAAACCTATATGTTTTAATATATATACCTCTCTGGCATTGCCCATATTCATTTTTAGATTTTTGTCCTCACAGTTAGAAAAACAATTTGGCTTCTTTCTGATTCCAAATACTTTTTTTTTTGGCTACACTGCATGGCATGCAGGATCTTAATTCCCTCTGCAGTAGAAGCGTGGAGTCCTAACCACTGGACTGCCAGGAAATTCCCTTCAAGTACATTCTTATAGTCCCTTCAGGCTAGGCCTACCTTTGAGGAAACAGTGGATTTTTGACATTGCCTGAGAAGGGAGGCAAGATAGATATGTGGATAGGTAGGAGAATCAGTATAATTATGCATCAAGCATAAGTAGCATTTCCACACCAGTAATTAACTCAAATAGCATAGTTCACTCTTTTCCACTTAGCTTAGCACACAAAGTGTTCATGTATTCAAATAACAGAATTGAGCTTACTAGATACACAAAGCATTGCCCAGTTCATGCCCTGGAGGAGCTTACAGACTGCATTGGCATGCATACAATACAAAGCTGATCCAGGCGCTATTATCCTTAAGTCTAGACTACCTCAACTGGTCTGCCTGCTCTCCTTGGTTATGTTGTGTTTCCATTCATCCTTTCATACCTTCTGAAGAAGCTCAAATGCTTTTTAAAATTTATAATTTGAGGGACTTCCCTGGTGGTCCAGTGGCTGGCACTCCAAGCTCCCATTTCAGGGGCCTGGGGTTTGATCCCTGGTCAGGGAGCTAGATCCCACATGCTGCAGCTGAGACCCAGTGCAGCCAAATAAATACACACAATTTAAAAAAAAAATAATTTGACCTTCATTTTTAAGAGTCTGCAGTTGTTCCTTATTGTCTGGGTATCAGTTTTATATTTTTCTGCCCACCTCCTGCCCTGTCCAACGTAGATTTCTTTGGGAAAATTGGTGCCTTGTCTTTGGCACACAGTTTAGTACCATTATGTTTACATGGATTTCCCATGAGACTGCTTTAGCTTCCTGTCACTTTGTAACTTTTTCTTTGAAAACATGCCCAAACCCAGCTATTCTTTACATTAATGCCTCTTGACTGTATCTTCTTTCTTCATATGCAGCTATCAGGTTTAGTCCTGCCTATTATCCCTCAAATCCATTTGCTTTCCAGAGTTTCTCTCACCTAGACTTTTCTGTAGGCTGCTGCCAAGCTAACCTTCCTCAGCCATCCCCACAAGGGGTTTATAAGATTTCCCATTTGTACTCAGTGCTTAGAGCAGTACTTGAGGCTTATGATTAGGGCCATTTCTGTATCTAGCTAGAGAGCTCTCATTTTGCTACTGCAAACCCTTGATTCCAGTGTTTTCTGTTTTCCCACCCACTCCTGATTTTTCAGCCTTTTTACTACAGATTTAATTTTGCCCCTTTTGGGAGTGTGAGAAGTTTTTAGTCCTGACTTCCTATACTGGTTTAGTTTGTGAACTATTTGCTTGAACTGCATAGAACTTACACTTGGTGTTTTCTCTTTCTACCACCTTACACTGTTACTTAAATATTCTCTTGAACATGTTATAAGTACCCAGAGGGCAAGGGTCATGCTTTTTAAATTTCCTTTTGGTTTTAGAAGCTAGCACTATGTTTTATATTCTGTTCCATTTAAGTACTTGTTGACTAAATGAATTCTATTTGACTTTAGTACCCCTTTAGTTAATTATACTGTTATATGTAAGTACAGTTTATACAGTATTGAGAATTCTGTGTATAATCAGAAAAGTCATGTAACTTCTAGTTATGCAGAAAACGGGGATGATACCTACTTTGCCTAGTTTATGAGATTGTGGAGATCAAATGAGAAAATGGTATTAGAGGTTGAGGTTGCTGTTTTGTATTGTTGTTAACAGGAGGGCTGATGTTCAGCCAGAAATTCCCACTGGGCCACCTGTGTTTTGATTGGTCTGACGTCCTTTCTGATTGGTTGGTCCCACTGTGGTGCTGGTTGCTAATACTTTTAATATCACCCCTGCAGAGGGGCATCAGTATTCAGAGGGAAGTGAGTAGTCTAGGCTGAAGTGGCTGGGGGAGCGGGGCTTCCTGGACACTTGCAGACTTAAAGGGACTTTGAAAGGGAGCTGGGATTCACTGAGGCAGAGTGGGGGGTGCGATGAGTGTTAAACTCGCTCTCTGCAAACTGTGTCCCCGAGCTCCCTTAAGGCAGGAAGCAAAAGCTTTTATTGTCCGGCTGGCAAGTTACTCTATAATTTCCTTATTCTAAAATGTGGGGTTTGGATATATTAACCACTATTATTTATTCCCCAATTCTAAAAATTCTCTAATATGTGACTGAAGCAGAAATGAAATATAAGTGGGATAAGAGAGAATATAAGAAATGAAATATAAGTGGGATAAGAGAGAATAATGTAATAGGCATTTGAATGTTGAAAGTCATAAGTCACTCACTTTACAGATGGAAAAACATGGGTTAGGTGAATTTCTCAGGGTAGGGAAGAACCAGGACAGGAACTTTGATTTTTTTTTCTAATTCTGGATCTTGTGTCCTATATGGCACTTTAAGATATGAAGGACTTGGATCAGGGAGGAAAAGAGTTAAAGGAGTGACTTTTGTAAGTGAAGTTACCTTGAATTTCACAGAGCTTAAGAAAAGTGAGTTCTGAAAGTGGGAGAGAGGGGGAATAATTATAAGTTATAAAGTCCTCAAGAAAATGTTAGTATCTTTTTTATACTGCTGGAAAAAAATAAAAAGAGGACCTGGTGTAGTGTTTGTTGATTAAGAAATGTAGACATATTAATTTGGACGAAATTTTGGGTTAATTGAAGTGGGGCGTAGGCCTTGTAGTACATGATGGTTAGGTTTAGAATTTTACATGAACTTTTTTTTTTTTTTTTAAGAAAAAAACATTTTTTAATGGGTAATACACTGTAAATACGTTTTATTTTTATTTTGTTTTTTTCCACTTGACTTGCAGGATCTTAGTTCCCTGACCAGGGATCAAACCTGTGCCCCCTGCAGTGGAAGTGTGGAGTTTTAACGACTGGAACGCCAGGATCTACTTTGTAAATGTTGAAATTAAACGGGGAACTGATAAGTTAAAAATAATCAAAAGGGAAGCCAGTCTTCTTGTGGGGAAGGCTGCTCCTGTGGACTTCACTTGAAAGCTCCTAGGCCTAACTGAAACGATTACCTGGACTCAGTACCGTTCTTGTAGTAGTGCTATATTGTATTAGATATGTTCATGTCTAATGAAGTGGGTTTTGAAAACGCCAGTATCCAGTGGATTGCCCTTTTGATGTGAGAACATGTCTTTTCAAACCACAGAATCCCCTGCACATGTCAAAAAACCTCATGCCTTTTGCTGTTCTGTCTTGGTCGTGGATTGCATAATGCAGCTTTCTCTGAACAGGCAGACTGGTTTGATGCCATGTGATTGGGTCATGTCTTTGCTTCCTGTTCTGGAGCCGAGGGCAGAAACCGCTGTGTTTCTCAGAAGTTTTCGTGCCTTGTCCCACAGAACTGGCTCAAGAAAGCTTCTGGAATCTTCCAAAAACGTATAGTCTGTCTTGACCCAGCCTAACTCCAATACTTAGGGTAACATTTAATGCCTTTCTTAATGTAGTTTTCTCAGTATCAAATCCAAGCAGT